ACACACACAGTGTTTTAAAATTCGCGCCCGCGAAGTACAAAATGTGATACATACAAAACGAATACATACTTTATACTAAAAGAAACAATTTATTCCTTTTGCAAAATTGCATCTGACAAATTTTTGCAGGAGAGTAGGTTGAAGTTGTACGATATATATATTATATATTATACGTATATAAATTATATATCGAATGTATTACAGGATTTACTACAGGAAAAGATTGTTCGTTTTAGCACCGATAAAAAAAATCGATAAGTAATTTTTGCAGGAGAGCAGTCAACAAAGTCAAGAAACAAACACAAAAATTATTTATCGGACGCAATTTAGAGGAAAAAGTTATTTGTTTTAGCATCAAGTATCACTTGTATTTCGCGACTGCAAATTTTAGAATACTCTGTATATATATCATAAAAATAAAAAATTATTTTCTTTTTAACTCAACTCTTTGTACTTTATATTTTGTACTTTGTACTTTACTTTTTACTTTTACTTTTAACATTATATGTAAATTCTGAAAATGTGTTAAATAACTTTAAAAAAATAGTTCTTTTATTTTATAAATTTTATTGAATAGTCTTCTTTACTTTTATTTATGTCTCTTTTCTTTTATTTAACTTTAATATAACATTTTTAATAATATTTAGAAATTTCTTACAAAGAAAACTTCTCTATATGTTTAAAAAAATTTCTTTTTCTAGGAAAATGATGAAATGTTTAGTAATTTAAATTTCAACATTTGAAATCCTGAATTTTGAACAATTCTTGGAAATTACGAAAATTTTTAGAATGTTATTTCAATCAATTCTAAGCAGAATTGTAAGACTTGTAACATTTTCGTAGATTTATAAGAATTTAGTATTCTAATTAGATTGATTCTAATTTTGCATACGTATGATTATTCATAATATCTATTTTACATCTAAATATCGATTTTATAATTTTATTATAAAGGCTGCTGTAAGGAGCTTGAAAAAAATTATATAAATATATAAGCACTTAAAATTCTCACATGTCTTACAGGAATATGTTACGAGCCTTATGATTCTACTAGAATTTAGAATTTAGGCATTAGATTACAGTTATACAATCTCTTTATTTTTGTTATGTTTTTGTTATTTTTAAATTGAATTAGATAAAATTTAGAAATGAAATTTCTTGCAGAAATTATTGGAACCAATTAAGTATATTCTTCAAGTTCCCGGAAAACAAATAAGAGCAAAATTAGCAAAAGCTTTTAATTACTGGCTAAAGATATCAGATGATAAAGTCCAAGAAATCGACGATATAATAAATATGCTTCATAATTCGAGCATGTTGTAAGTTTGCGTTCTGTTAATTATCAATATAATATTTTATTTTGCATCTTTTTGTAGATGTATCATATCTTTCTCATTAACTATAAAATTATATCTTTAAATAATTTTATTTTTTGTAACAGTTGCATATTCCATTAAAAACTGGATAATTAATTAAAGTGCAGATATAGATATTTTGCAAAGTATCTGCAGTTATATTAACTTAAAATTTAATGTTTTTATAAGAATTATAATTTTTTATGCGTAATTTGCAAAATTGGATATATATATACATATATAAAATCATACTGAAATATTTAAGCATCCACTTTGATCGAAAATAAAATTATTTTTCTTAATTAATTGCTTTATTCTTGTCTATCTAAATTACGAATTATACATGTTTTCTTAAAAAAACGATCTTTTTTGTATTAGTTTTTGGTTATTGCGAGAAATATTACTGAAGTCTTCGAATCAAAAGGATGCCCTTATGGAATTCGAAACATCCGAGTTTAAATCCTGGCCGAGGTAATATTTTTCGCAATAAATAACTAACAGCTTTTAAGAAATTTACATTAGCATCAAATTATTAATATCTTTTTAAAATTCTTGTTATCATCAATATTATTGAATTGCTTGTCAATTTAATAGGTGATATTAATACTTCAGTTTTATTTTTGCGTTTCAAAGTTGAAAAAGATTTTTAGCGCATGGTTTGTAGAATTGAATATAAATTCACACTGAAATATTTAAGCACTAAAATTCATTTTGTCCGAAAATAGGATTATTTCTCTCAATTAATTTATTTATTCTTATCAGTCTAATTTTAATTATTATGTATAATTTTTATTTTTATTTTTATTTTTATTTTCGCAGGATTGATGATATTCAAGATAATTCCATTATGCGAAGAGGCATTCCTGTTGCACATTCAGTTTATGGAACTGCTAGCTCATTAAGTGCTGCAAATTACATATTATTCATTGCTTTGGAAAGAGTTATTAATTTAAAACATCCAGCGGTAAGTGACTACATTAAAAAACATTGTGAATTCTGTTGATTTTCATATTTTATAATGATATTTTGATATGTAAAATAAATCATGATAAAAGATATACATCTCTCGCTACTATATAATACTTAAGAATTTTCAATTTACTTAAATACAAAATTTAAAAGACGTTCAGTATAACAATATTATATAATTATTTTATATGAAAGGGTATTTTTTAAAATTATGTTAGAAACCATTAAAATTGTCCCATTTTCTCATTTTTTAAAAATTATTTTTCTTAATTTTATTAATAATGAATATTGATAAAAGCAACTATTTAAAATAATTATGAATAATTTTAATAAATAACGATATAGAAAATTGATTTTTAGAGAATTATCTAAGTGTCATATTAATATATTAATAAATGCAGCGGTACAGTAGTACTGTGTACGGCCATGACTACTATTATAATGCAGTTTTTTTTATCTATTTGTCTTTCTTTTTTTCTTTCTTTATTCGTCATATGATTAAAGATGTAAAACTGGAAATAGAAATTAATACATAATGAAATTAATACATAATGTAGATGCAACATCAATGTTATCTCAAAAAACATGCGTGACACGCATCATTACAAATAATAATTTAAGTTAATATTGAATATATATATTAAATATAAATAAATTAAACATTAAGAATTATGATAATATATTTTATATATATAATATATTATCAGGCAACGCAAGTATACATGGAGCAATTATTAGAACTTCATAGAGGTCAGGGAATGGATATTTTTTGGAGAGATAATTTCATCTGTCCAACTGAGGAAGATTACAAGATTATGACAATAAGAAGTAATTGCTAATATTTATACACTCTCTATTTTACATACACATAGAAAAAAGTTATTTATGTTAAAAAAGGTTTTAAATATTAACTAATTTTGCAGAAACTGGTGGTCTCTTCAATTTAGCGGTAAGATTGATGAAACTGTTCTCAACTTGTGAAGAAGATTTTTCATCATTAATAGCTACTTTAGGATTATATTTTCAAATACGCGACGATTATTGCAACTTGTGTCTTGGTGAGGTAAGCGATAACATATTCGATTTAATAAAATAAATTTGTATTACTACATTTATTTTTGTTACAGTACACTGAGAATAAAAGTTATTGTGAAGATTTAACCGAAGGAAAATTTAGCTTTCCGATTATTCATGCCCTTAAAAGCAATCCTGACGATAGACAAATAATAAGTATCCTTTATCAAATATTATTTTTATTTAGTAAAAAGTATAATATTCATTATACAATTAATAAACTTTTTTTTACTAATTATTCCATGTACTTCAGGTTTGAAAGTTTTTATTATAATTTATTAGATTTATATATTTCTTTAATAATGTTTAATAAAGATATTGTACGACAACGGACAAAGGATATCGAAGTGAAACGTCATTGCATTAAATTATTAGAGAGATTTGGTTCCTTTAAATACACAAGAAATGTACTTGAAGAATTGGATTCGACTGCGAGAATTGAAATTGAACGATTAGGTGGTAACCCGCTTCTGGTGAAGATTCTGGATGAACTTAAGAACTGGGATACTCAAGATGCGCCTAAGGATCCTTTAACTGGAACGTTTTAAATTTAAGATTACTTATTTTCTATAAAACAGCAAAAAATAGCATTATATAGATTTTTTTAAAATTATATTATATATAATAATTGCAAGTAGTAAAGGAATGCTTATACTATGATATATTATGTATAAATTAAAATAATATATAAAATAATATAATGATAAAATAATATAATGACTCGTTCGATTCAGAACGCGCTTACAACAATGTTAGCGCGTTATACTTTATGTTATGCATATTATAGAATTTCAGAAATAAAAGCGCGTTCTGAATACGGGCCAATATAAAAATATACAAAAAATATATAATAAAGTTTTTTAATAGCTGATAAAAATTAATATTTGTAAAATTTTATTGGATATCTGTGCACTATAAATAAAAATGGATTTCTATAAAAGATTTAAGAAGACTTATTCAAAATGAGTTGTTATTTTTTTTAATAAATTAATATTTTATTTAGCTATACACATTTCGAGTTATATAAAGTTAAACAATAATAAAAGAAGTATAGTAAAAGTAGTTGCATGTACATGTATCTAACATTTGTATAAGTTTACATTGCAACATTTTATTTTTGTAAAAATATAATTTTGTAACTTGCAAATACTGTGTTTTTTTTATACAAAACCGGTTAATTTTTAAACTTTTAAATTTTATAGAGATCACGTTATTATCTCCTCAGATAGCGAGATTTAGCATATGGAACAAATTGATGAATGTATTGTTTTCAACTTGCTGTCAATTTGCTGTCGTTGGAATTTAATGAACTGAGTTAGCATCAGGAGAGCAAATAGATTTCATGAGTTTACGAAATTGTAAGAGTATTCATTGAGAAATAATAAACTCGTCATGTCAATAGCAAACTGACGACACGCCATGCACGCATGATGACAACTTGCCAGCAGTTTGTTGAATTCTAAGGAAGATTTTACGTGACAGAACAACAAACAGTTTGTGGAAACACAAACCTTGGCTTTAGTTTGATGAAATTGAATGCGGAATAAGTGACAGCAAAATAGCAATATATTGTCCTTATCTGGGATATATCGAAGAGACAGATCCAGTTGTAATGCACTGCATGCATGGCGTGCCGTCAGTTTGCTGCATAAAATCTATTTGCCCTCCTGATGCTAACTTGGTACACATTAGATTCCAATGACAGCAAATTGTCGACAACAGTTGAAAACAATACATGCAGTGCATCACATTTTTATTCCATATGCTAAATCTTGCTTGGCTATTTGGGATGTATTATACATTATAGTCATTACATTTTTATAAGTAACGTTTTAAGTATAATAATTTATTAAATAATAAATATTTCATAATTTTGAATCTAAAATTGATTAATGAATAACATTTCGATGAATGCAATCGTTAAGTTTTAAATATTAATTATTAATAATGTTATCATAAAAAATATAAATAAGAGGCCATAACGTACCACTTTCTCCTCCGCCTCTTTTCGTCGGCAACGACTTGTTGTATTTAAAAATCCAGTGTATAAATTTTATTTTATTTTATAAGATATTAATACAAACGTTGAGATTTAAAATTTCACTTCTACAAATGTTACATGAAGAACTTATGACTTCAATACACATTTCAAATTTATTCAGTACATCGCACGATATTTAATATGTTTATAGTAAATGAATTGTATCAGTAAAAACTTTGTACTCTACTACTATAAAAAAAATATTACAAATCTGAAATATTTATTTTTCATATTAAAAAATAAACTTTTTTGAAACTTTTGCATTTTTGCCGTCTCATGTACCCCATTTGCATCCGTCCCCTATATCCCATAAGGGTGGGATATATGGCTATTCGTAGAGGGAGGAGACGTATGTACGGTTCATGAAAAATTTATAAATAATGCATATAAATAAGACATATAATGACACAATAACTTATAAAATGTGTTTATAAAGTTTAATTAAGGAATAAGAATGGTAAATATGTATATGATGTAATAAATAATAATTACAATCTTCCTACATATATATATATTACAAGCGTTATGACATAAGCTACATATTTCATATAATGCGTTCATTGCATTTAGTGTACTGAATTCAATCTGCGCACTTTGTATGCTTTGGGCATAAACCCCGCTCACTAAAAATGCCGTATATCCCAAACAGAGGCATACAAGACAACAAACTAAACAAAGATGCAAGCAAAATCCATATATTTTGCTACACAACATGTTTTACTATTCCACTACACGTATGTATCACGAAATAACCATTAAATCTTTTACACGTCCTACAGTTATTATTTTATAGATTATTAGATTATAATTTATGACGTTACTTATTACAGTGACAAATCGATTCAACTCACAATTTCATTAATATTAATAGTAAGAAGTTGAAATCATAACACAATATTAATATAAAAGCATATAACAGAGTAATTGTGGGAAAATCTCCACTTTTTCTGTTTTTTTCTGACTTCTGCGGTGTAAATCCCAGCGCCGCATATTTACCACATATTTACCCTACACAAAATTAATTAAAATTATATATAATTATATATAAAATTGACATATATATTTGATATACAATTATACATAATTATATACAAAATATTCATATACAACATTTCGTTCTGGGTTGTTACAAAAAAAATATATTTTTATAGACGCGAATTTCCGCTGGTTGGTGGTGTGTTGATGATGATGGTGTGTGTTGAAAATGGCGCCCTATGCGCCATTTTTTTATTGGGTAATTGTCTACATATATAAGTTTACATAGATGACACCTTCCAAACAACATAAAGTCTAAAATTATGATATAAGACGTTTCTCTAAGACGTTCCTCTCGTCTTTTAGACACAAAAAACGTCTTATGACCCGATTTTAGATATTTTTTGTTATCTGAGCTTATACAATGGTTTATGTTCTCTACACGTAAACATAGAATATTATAATTCACGCGTAAATGCACAATCCTGATATTTCAACACTTCCTTTATTCTTGGTGAATTTTTTATTTGCTCGCGCGTGCACATTTTGTATAAATACATGTATGAATAAATAAAGGAAACTTTATTCATTAAAAAAAGACAAATATCGTTTATCTACCAATCAAATTTAGTCATTAAATTTAATTTTTTACGTGTTATTTACGTCGTAACGACGAGATAGTCAACATAAGACCATAGATTTAAGCGAGGAGCATGTGTGCCCTTGTAAAACGCATAATGCATAAGAAAAGTTTTTATTTCCTTTCTTTCCATACAATAGAGGACTTTGATTAGTTTTTTATCGTCTTTCGATTTATTTACGCCTTGTGCATTATATAAGAATCTGTACTCTTTAGCATATATTACTTCTTCTATTGCTGCTAGTACATCAGAGAAGAAACCTAAGTAAGAGCTGCCGCAATTTATTTTCAAATATTTTCCTTGCTACACAAGCAAGTTCCAACTCTAATTCTTCAGCAGTAACTTCTAAAACATTCTCGTATTACAATATAAAAAAAATAGTGTCTATACGAAAGATTGGATTCCACACAACAATCTCGAGCTTCTTATAGTACGATTCTTTCGATACAGATAAGAACGTAAATATCTTTTCTCACAAGAACACGACTAAATTGTAATGTTAAATGTTTTCTTTTTTTTCGAATTTGCTTCACATCTTCATACGCTACAAATACTTTGAATTATAAACATTTATGTTTATATAATATATTCTTAGGCCGGTATTTATAGTCGATTTCAATTTGCTGTTTTATAGACCTCTGTACGATTTTTTTTCATCGAATTATTCAACACTGAAACAATAAGGATTTTTGCTTCATTGTTGAATAACTTAGTGAAAAAAGAAAATCGTACAAAGTCTATAAAAAAGCAAATTAAAGGTAAAAATTCACTCTTTCAAAAGCTGTAAATCTCATTTGTGTGCAAGTTTTAATTGATGCCATATAACGTCACGTGCATATCACGTATGACGTACAACTTATTGCCATGTCTACAAGAGACGGCAATAAATCGTATGTCATACGCCAAAACTTGTGTGCGTTACTTATGTCTACAACTTAAGTCTCTAAGGCTCGATTGCAACAACGCTTACTTTTAAGCAAGGTTTAAAACTCTGTTCGTTTATGTCTCTTTTTCGATTTTAAAACGAGATAAAGACAGAGTTTTATGTCTCGCTTAAAATCAAAGTAACATTGACGCAACCGGGCCTAAATGTTACAATTTTTGTGCTCAGACCCTATCTTTAGAGACTCTAGAGTGGATATAAAGAGAGTGGCGCAATAAATGTCCTTCCTGTTAGTTAGAAAAGATGTTAAAGAAAGAAGAGGTTAAGACGAGGAATTGCGTCTATAGATACCCCATGTAGGATACCAAATGGTGACTTCCGGTTAATCGCCATTACTCTCTTTATACCAATTCTAGCCATCTCGTTTTCTATTTCTTTCTATTCGCATTCTTAGCTGGCTCCATTACTTTATACGTACATCCGTCCTCTTTGAGGATCAGTCAACATTCAGATTTGATTCAGATTTGATTAAAAAGTCGACTCTTGACTTCTCCAGTCATAACTCGAAGTCGATAAAAAGTCAACTTATAGTCGACTTTTTATCGACTTCGAGTTATCTAGGATTCCACTTTTGCTCGTATTTATGCATTCGATATGTAATTCGAGCAATCGATATTATAAGGCAAGGAATTAAATAATATTATCAATTCGTTTACTATTTAGTTTAAATTTATTAAAATTACAGCTTTCTACGTATTACAATAATTTAGAGTGCAATGACGGACATGAAAAAGATTGTATCTTTCTACTATTCATCGAACGGTAATACAAAGGAGGATAAGGTCAGTTTTATAGCACCTTCTCTTTTATTTTTTCATATCTCTTTTATCTTTTCATAATTCAATTTTACTTTGCGTTTTGTTTTGTTGATTTGTTTTATTTGATTTCTATTGTGTAGATACTTTTAGAACCGATCGAATATAGTCTGCAATGCAATGATATACATCCATATAGAAAAATATCATTGATTTTCAATTACTGGTTTAAAGTATCACCTGATAAATTGCAACTAATTGACGAAGTAATGCAAATGGCCTATAATGCAAGCGTCATGTAAGTTATTGTAATTTTTTGTATTGTAATTATTTGTTGTTGTAAAGCATGACTAATTTATGCATTTTTGTTAAAATTATATGCGCGCGATAAGAAATAAGATACAATCTTTGCAAAGAAAATTACGTTATCTTCTAGAATTTAATAAATTACGAAAATTTTCCTCTTTTTGTAGTTACATTTAATATATCATTCTCTCGCAAGAAAAGTAACAAGAGTCACTTTAATTCAATACAAAATTTCAGTTCAATAAAATTATTCAGACAAGTGAGGGCGGAGGAAAAAGAACATTGTGTATTTCAAATTTATTATTTATTATGCATTGGCAGATGCGTATATATAAGTTAACTTATTAGAACTAATCACAAATTGTTTATTTCAAATTTTTTAGAAGTAATGTAGATATTAATTTTGTTACGGTGTAATCCTTGATGTTAAAACTTTTCTTGTATTATTTTTCTTTAATAAATATTTAACATATACTTTTCCTGAAAGCCGATGCATTTAGAATATGATCCCCATAATACAAAATTTAAAAAATTTATATCATTCTTCTTGCAGGGATATGACATGTATTAACAATGATTTATATAAAAAATTTTGAAAATTGTTTAGATAAGTCTTGTTTTTTTACTTTAATTATTATTTTATTGTTACAACCTGCTGTTATATTTCTGATTTCATCTTTTATTATTATATTATAATATATTTTTAAATAAAACAAAAGAAAGATAATACAGTCTCTCTACTGATTGAAAAGATTATTTTGAGTATATTTTTATAGATTTATAAAGTTTTTGTTTCTTGATAGATTCGATGATATTCAAGACGAGGCCATTATGCGAAATGGTTTTCCCGTAACCCATTCTGTTTATGGACTTCACTACTCAATAAACGCTGCAAATTGTTTACAATTTATTGCTTGCGAAAAACTTATTAATTTACATCCCATGGTAATAAGTTGTATTATGCATGTCTGTGTATAACTTTGAAAAATTGAATGTGTTTTTTCTTGATATATATATATTTTCTTGATATATTATAACAGAAATCAAAATGTGCACTAGATAATTTTACCAAAATTCTTTTTTCGATTTCTTGCATGCATAAAAAAGATGCAAATTCATTGAATTGATTCCAGTCTTTATTCGTTTCTTAAGTGTTGAAGGTGATTAAAACTTAATCCTGAACGTCCAGTCTATATTAATGTTGTTAATGACTTTTTCCGTATAAATAATAAAATAAATTATTAAAATATAAATTTCATTTTAAAATTGCAAAAAAAAAATATATTTTTTATTTTAATTATATATTTTTATATCTTAACAGGCAGTTAAAATTTTGATTGAACAATTTATTGAATATTACAAAGGTCAAGGAATGGATTTATATTGGAAAGAAAAATTTATCTGTCCGAAAGAAAAAGACTATAATATTTTAGCATTAAGAAGTAAACATTTTTGCTTCTGCTATATACAAAGCGTATTACATATATATATGTATAATTTGAATATTAATTAATTTTATAGAGAGTGCTTGGTTAAATGTAATGGTGGTAAAAGTAATGAAACTATTTTCTACTTATGAAGAAGACATCTTGTCACTAGCAAGTACTTTCGGATTATATCGCCAGATACATGATGATTATTGCAATTTACGTCATGATGAGGTAACCAATAATTTAATTTAATGACTTGAAAAAATTTTTTAAAATTTATTGTTATAGGATACTAACGAGAACAGTTATTGCGATGATTTAACCGAAGGAAAAATGAGTTTCCTAATTATTCATGCACTTAGAAACAATCCTGACGATAAGAAAATAATAAGTATCCTTTATCATACGTTATATTTAAAATGAAATAAGTAGATACTAAGGAATATATTTCGTATTAAGTAGACAATAATAAAATTAAATGGTAAACATCTCAATTTTGAAAATTTTTATAATAAAGTTTTTAGATAATGTTAAAATTCTTAACAATAATTCAAGATATTTTAAGACAACGATCGAAAAATATTGACGTAAAACGTTACTGCGTTAAAATATTAGAGAGTTATGGCTCATTTAAGTACGCAAAAGATATACTTGATGAATTGGAAGAAAAGATGAGAACCGAAATTGAACGTTTAGGTGGCAATCCGCCCTTTATAAAGCTTCTGGATGACTTTAGGAATAAGATGTTGAAAACACATATCTAAAGATTCTTTAATCAAAATGTTCAGAAATACGTATTTTGTTATTAATAAAACGTCAAATGTAGCATTGCATAATTTATCCATACCGTTGTATAAAATAATCTCTTATTAATAATTATAAACAACAAAATGTAATAAAAATTAATCTGTATACGAATAAAGATAAATAAAGTTTATTTATGAAATTTTGTTGAAAAAAATCAATTGTAATATACTATAGTAATAAATCATATGCACCCAAAAAAAATATTCTGCCGTTAAGCAGGAAATTTCTTTAAGCATTTCTTCTAAGTAAAAAATTTTACATGAATCTCATGCAAGCGCTTGTATTTATGACATGTATTTATCTATAAAAATGAGGACACGTGAACTATAATAAAAAATAAATTCCTTTATAGAAAAATTCCATTATAATTCAAAAATTCCATTATAATTCAAAAATAATCTTTTGAAAAAACAAGATATACTAAAATGTAAATAGTTATTATATGCATTTATTCAAATGATATTTTTATTGATGTGATGATTGATAACTCGCAACATATTTTTATTAATTTGTGGTAGCAAGTGTAATACATTGTTTAATAAATAAATATATTTATTAGGAATAGCAGATATTTTTAATCAGTTGATATTTTTGATAAAATTTTACGTTAATACATACATACATCGACTCTATAAATATACACACTTCAAGTAAAATTTAATATATTTTCTTGAAATGTTTAACTCTATTATTTTAGTTAAATTAATCATTCAAATCATATTAGGTGATACATGATTTTTTGTCGTGTAAACAATGTAGATTATATAGTAAAATATTGCTAACATATTTTATACAGTATAAAAGAATTAAAATTAAATTATAAAATAGTCTTTACACCCATAGAGTAAAATTGTCCGAAATACATCTAGGAATTAGGCTATAAAAATATACGACGATATCTTTAGAATATTTCTGTGATGCATTTTGAATATTTTAACTATACGAGCACGCACACATTCCCACTATAAATATAAATTGTATAAATATCATGTAAGTATTTATTAAATTCGTAAATTATGCGAACTCAATTTTTTTACAGACGTCTATAAATTATCAAAATTCTAAGGATTAAAGTATAAAAAAACTTTTAATTATTGCTTTTGTTGCTGCAATATGCACAATGTGCATAATATTTATTGTATCTTTTTATTAAAGTAAAATCCAGTTCATTAAATTTATTTATTATTCGTGATATGTTTGAGACAACGAGTTGTTATATTTAAAAATTCAGCTTATAAATTTTAAAATATTAACACAAACGTTGAGCTTTAAAATGTCTACAAATGTTACATGAAGAACTTATGACTTCAATACACATTTCAAATTTGTTCAGTACATTGCACGATAAAAGCATCTTTTGAACACAGTTTATCAACGTTTTTCTGTAAAAGATTCCCGGGAAGAAATGTTTCATATATAATTGCATATATAATTAATAATTAGGGTAACTCCGGTATATATGCTGCACCTATCAAAAACTTAATTTATTAATTTATTATTTACTATGTTTGTAGTAAATGAACTGTATCAGTAAAAACATTGTACTGTCTACTACTGTGAAAAAAATATTAGAAATTCGAAATATTTATTTTTCATAATAAAAGACAAACTTTTTGAAACTCTTGCATTTTTGCCGAAGATCCCATAGGTGGGATATATGGCTACTTGTAGAGGGAGGAAAGGTATATAAGGCTCATGAAAAATTTACAAATAATGCATATAGATAAGACGAATAATGACATAATAACTTATAAAATGTATTTATAAAGTTTAATTAAGGAATAAAAATGTTAAATATGTATATGATGTAATAAATAATAATTACAATCTTCCTACATATATATATTACAAGCGTTATGACATGAGCTACATATTTTATATAATGCGTTCATTGCATTTAGTGTTCTGCATTCAATCTGCGCACTTTGGACATAAATCTCATTCGGTATAAATGCCCAAACTGGGATATACAACAAACTAAACAAAGAATATGAAAGCAAAGCCAATGTATTTTGCTACACAACATGTTTTACTATTCCACTACACATATGTATCACTAAATCTTTTACATGCCCTATAGTAATCATTTTATGTAGATTATAATTTATGATGGCGTTACTTATTACAGTGACAAATCGATTCAACTCACAATAATATCAATAATATTAATAGAAAGAAACTGAAATTATAACACAATACTAATATAACTTAAAGGCATATAACAGAGTAGTTGCGGGAAAATTACCCCCACTCCTTCTATTTTTTCTGATTTCTGGCGTAAATCCCAGCGCAGCATATTTGCCGGAGTTACCCTACACAAAATTAATTAAAATTATATATAATTATATATAAAATTGACATATATATTTGATATACAATTATACATAATTATATACAAAATATTCATATACAA